CACAAAGTACTTGCCTTTGCTTGGCAAAATTTTGTCTAACTGTCCTAAAGCATGTCTGCATCCTGTTCAGTCCCAGTCCATCTTCCCAACAGAATATCTGAGTTTAAGTTATGCACCAGTTTGGGGTTTTTTAGCCTTACGTAGACACTTAAGTTTTTTGTTTGTTTAAAGGACAGCATTACGTTACTGTCTCATTCTTTCAACTGACTCTTCATAAACTAGTATGAATTATTTTATTCATTGACAGCAGCCTGAAAAATTATTGCTACAGAAGAAGACTTAGAAAATATCTGAAAAAGTAGCAATGGGCAAGACATCAGCCCAGGTGCTCACAAAAGTACGACTGTGAATTTGACAGATGAAAATAAAGTAATTCTACCAGCTGGCTATACAGATATTTAAGATATCATCCCATATGCTATGCAGAATTAGTTCCTTTTCACTTGGAAACGCAACACAAGCAATGCTGCTCTATGTTCTGCCACCATGGCTTGCGCTTCATTCATATTTTCAAAATCTTTTAGAAAATCATTGCAGTTGGAGACATTTCTTATTATTTTTAATGAAATCTGAAATAAGTGCTTGAGATCAAGACAGCTCAACACAGGCACTAGTATGATAATACAATATATGTTTTGGGTCTGACGATATCCTCTTTGGCAGTCTGGATCATAAAAGCTTATTTCAAGCACAGGAAACATGGTAAAAGAGGACATAAAGCCAAACAGTGGAAGGGAGGAGAGTTAACAGAGCAAGAAGCACAGCAGAGATGCAGAGAAGTGAAATTACATTGTGCTTGAAAATGAGAAAGAGTAGTTTGTATAATGAAAATAAGTCAATTAGATTAATAAAAATAGCTGTGACATTGCTGGAGGAGAAGAGAAAGAACCACCACCAATAGCGATGTTCTAGCTAAACCAAAAAGGGGCGAAAATGGGGAAATCAACGGATCATTGCCATGGCAAGGAAATTGTCTGGAGAAGAGGAAAAAAAAAGAAAGGCAAGGATTTTGGTAGCAAGTATTAGGTAAACCTCTAGAAATTATGATACTGAATTCTGACACACTACTTATCACAATGAATAAAAATAAAGCAGGAACTTGACAAAAAAAAGTAATTTTTCAGAAGAATGGAGAGACTTGTAATAAGCTAAAAACATAATTTAAAAATCTTCTACTAATAAATGGGCCAGGGTTTATTTTATTATAAGGAAAAAGCCCATTTTATCATAGTGCTTCTATAGCACAGACAGCAATGGAGTATAGAAATACTGGGTCAGTGTCATGGATATTGTGGATACTGGGGCCAACCTGACCACAGCAGCATAATGCTCTTTTTGCAGCTCAGCAATCTCAGCTATCTTCACCACAATCAAATCTGCAAGAGCAGGCCATTATCTCAATTCTTCATCTGTCTTCCTATAGCTTACACCAGAAGGTTAAATGTGATTAAATCAGATTATACAGACTCAAAACTAAATACCAAGAACATAAAGTGAGAGTTGAGGAAGCAATGAAACAAAACAGAGAGGGAAAGATGAGGCAGAGAACTGGATTATGAGAAAAGTTAGAAGTTTAGTTCTGAGAAAGCCTAACTAGAAATGACAGAGGTAAAATATCTGTCAGATAACTAATTGCAAAAGGAAAAATTATTCAAGACCCATGAACCCAGACCCTTACACAAAGATGGGTCTTTGGGAGCATGGCAGTCTATCTGAAAGGGGAAAAAAGCCACTGCTTCTGACATATTAGCCATTGAAGCATGATAACAGATAATACGTTCAAGATTTCTGCTTCTAAATACTCAGAGCATTATACTAACTTACAAAGATAAATCTGAGATTAAGGATGGGTTTGCCAGCATTTACAGCAGACGACCAGTAGATGCCCTGTCATGCGTCCAAATGGCCATCAGTAAGTGGTGTAGAAGAGAGGAGTGCAGCAGAGGAATCAATCCAAACTGAAACACCAACAGTAAAAAAAATAGAATCAAATGAATGATAAAAACCTGAAAAAAAAAATCTATGAAATTTTAAAAAAATCTACAAGCTTATAAAAAAGAAGAAAAATATAAAATTGGGTTTTTTTAATTAGCCAATACAAAATAAAGGGCTTTTTCTCCCCCTTCTCTAAAAATTGCTATTTCAACGTCACCAGCAGTTAAGGATGCTAGCTTCTTGTAAGAGATGGCCAGTTATATGAAGGATAACTTTGGCCAAGTAGTATAGATCTCAGGAAAAGTACGTTACACAGAGAAAGGACATACTGTTATGGTTACAGTCAAGACTGCTTTCAACACAGTGACAAAGTAAGATGACAAAGAAAGAAACCACTACTTTAGTAATTTTATAAACAAACAAATCCTCCTTTAAAATCTAGTCCTATTATTTATTCTGGTAAGGTAAACATTAGTACTGTAAACCTTCTGAGATGTTAATCTGAAAAAAATTATTTGTTCTACTAGCATAATGGCTCTTTCATTGGATTCATCTTCTTCAGAACAGTACCTGTTTCTTGGAGAAAAATTTGAAGAGAGCAAGGGATCAAAAGCAACAGCTGTAAGAAAATATAGACAAAATTCAACTGACAATTTTACCATCCAGTGCAGGACTGAATCAGAATACTTATTCTACTTTCAGAAACATGGAAACAACTGCTGTATCTCAAAAACCAAATTGGTACTATTGGACTGCCAAACCTTTAAACAAAATATTAAAACAAAATATTCCGTTTCTTTACAGCTTATGCTAAGTCATTCCCTTTCTTGGTGGATACTTTCCTCTCCGATGTCATAATCTTTTGCATTTATATTCCCTATCTGATTAGTTAACTGGCTTTTCCTCAAGACACAGAACCAGTCCGATTTGGTATCACGCTGTCAAATTTGTTTCACACCAGTTCTATCTGTCTCTGTGTGTGTGCGCGCGTGTGTGTGAGAGAGAGAGAGAGTGCAAGATAAAGACAGAGCAGACACCACGCACCCTCATTAACTGGAGAGAGATATAATTAAACAAGAAGGGGTTAAAGCCTATGTTAGCCTATTCTACTTTTCCACCTATTACTTTTTAAAAAGCTTTCATATGTCTTCTTCCTTGTTTCTGAAAGCTAACCATCCCTTCTTCCTTTCAGGAAGGCTGACATTTGACAGCTTAACATAGCTGACAGGGTTACCCAACAGCCCACCCTCCCTATTCTCAATCCAATTAGACCTCTAATCCTCCAGATGAAAGGCCCAACTACTCACGTTCCTCATGACAACGACAGCTATTGATTATTTGTCACTACAGCTAACACCTTCTCTGTCGAGGCCACTCTGACAGAAGCAAACCTACCAAATTAGACAGCACTTTATCTGCCCTGGAGGCCAAATGGCACAACAAGTAAAGGCTAATAAATGGTATAAAAATGAACAAATCATAACATTATGACAGGTTGATCGTTGCCAGCAGCTTCACAGCTCAAGCTTGATGCTCCGTTAGACTTGTTCCTTCTCTTTTCTCTTCCACTCATGCTCCAACTTTGACTGAATTAAAGGCCAGAACAATTAAGGCATTTGACCAGCAAAGATAAGCTAGGATAGAAGTATCATCAAGGGACACAAATGTCAATAGCAGACTACCGTTTGTCAATAAAAACATTCCAGAGATGCAAATGCTTATGACTCTGCTCTCCACTAGGCTGTACTGACTCCCTTTGTACAGAGCTCTTCTCAAACTCAGGCAGAAACTCCAGGAAAATTAACCCTAGAAAACCAAGCTTGAGCTGGGAAGCATTCTTATCAGGCAGGGATTTGCATCACTAAAAAAGGAATCCCAATACCAAGCTACACCAGAGAGAGAGATGTTACTCCATACCTACAAAATTTTCCTTTCTTTTTAGCAGAGTGATATAAGCCAAGAATGCATCATTTGAATTTATTATTATACATTTTCTTCAATTGTTTTTCAAGAAAAAATTATCTGTTTCTAAGACAATATATAGTCTCTAGTAACACAGAACCTCACAAGTCACAACACTCAAAGCCAAACTGAAAAGCAGTAACAACATTTTTTATTTTTACAGTGATACTATCCAAAACCATTAATGGCGAGATCAGAGGCACAGACTCTGAACTGAGGCTGTTTAATGCAATGAACATCAGGAAGAGGGCATTAAAAAAAAATTAAAATAAAGCACAACAACCATGGAAAGATTGTTAAGATCATGCAAGCACAAGAATAATGTGAGCAAAAATACACAAGTTCTTGAAACAGTTAAAAAGCAATTAGTACTGCCTTGCCATAATTATTTAGCTGATTTCTCAACTATGCCAAAACCAACGTGTTTTCCAGCAATGGATTCCTAAACTTTTGAAATTACTTATTAACAATAAAATAATATTAAATCAAACTACATTAAAACTCACATAAAATAAAAGCTTCTTTACCTGAAGAAGACATAAGACATGAATATGTGCTATTCTACTTCGGGAAAATCTACAGTTTAAGTGAGGAAAATGTTCCTGGGTAACATCTAGGTTGTACAGACATAAGAAACTACATGCAAATGTAACATAATACTATTTTAAAAAATCTAAACACTGTAAAATGATTTATTCAGAAAAAAAAAAAAGTCAAATTGTGTAGTGTTTGTCCTCAAACTGTTCTAACTTCCTAGGTTTACAAAATACTCTTGGGGAAGAATACATATTTATTAATCGCTTCAATCAGACATGATTAAACTCTTTAAAAGGTAGGCATTTCAGTACAGTATTATCACAAAATATAGATAGTTAAATGAACAGTTTGGCAAACAGATCCCTTAAGATTATTGAACCTACAGGACATTTAGGTAAAGCTGGCCCTCCTAAAACTCAAGCAAACTGGTAAAAAACCTGAAAAGTTGAAATTGTATATAGTATGTCTATAAATAAATCTACATTATTACGATACTTTTCTAAAACATACTCCAAATACAATAAACCCCTGCGAAGAGGAGACAAATATTTTAATTTTCAACCAACGTAGTGTACCACTTCACAGCTATGCTTTCATTTGCAGCGCTAATGCCCGTTTCTAATACCAGCCTCTGCTTTCCAAGACCAGACAAGTTCGCAACTCCGAAGACGGAGCGCCCCAGAAGCACCCACTCGCCCCGAAGAAGATCGCTAGCAGCGCACCCGGTCCAGCCCTCTGCAGCGGGGACAACCGAGCGACCCGTTCTCAACTCTTCGGCACACAGCGACATTTATGCCTACGCTGGCGACGAAGAGTCCACAGTGTTCTCGGAAGCTGTTTAGGCTTTCCAGCACGAAGAATGCCAGTATTGTTTATATTATAAGCCTCCTATTTATCCTAGGTTATATTCCCTGCTATGGCCTGTTCTTATTTAGCAGATTCTCATTCTTTTTCAACACATACTTTGTTTACAGAGGAAAGGAATATATCTCATTCTCCCAATTTGATTTTACCTAGTTCATTAAAAGCATTCACATTTGGGCTTCTTTTCCCTTTCATTATTTTAAGAGCTTTTCAGGTTTTTTGATTTTAAACAATGAGGGCTAAAAACTAACATTATACGAGAGAACTAGCTGGTGCCAAGCAGTGAAGAAAAATTACTCTTCTTATTTGCTAATCATACCAGCAAAATCTCTAAATGTCCAGGTATTAGACTTATTAACCAAATGAGCACTCTCCTCCATTATTATTCCCAAGTTTTCTTCTGCAAGACTCATTTATAATATTTGGTTTATTATCACTATTCTTGGTAAGTGTGAATCTTTTCCACCATCACAGGTCAGAATCAAAAATGACATACCGCTATGTTTTTCAAGTTGTGTTCCAGGAGATGTGCCTCCCTGAGAATCACATCTGAACATCCTTTACACATAGCAAGAGCTAATCCACTCATCTTCACGAAAACCTTAGACGTATTTCTTTGCTCTACTTCTAAAATAGGTTTGCAACCCTCACAATTAAAACAAAATCCTTCAAAACATGGATGCTACAATGATGGCTGCCAGTCTGAAACATCAACTGCCCCAGGCAACTGGAGATCACTACGTCATGTGCATGGAAAAGAGAAGGCACTACACATGGTCCATCCTTTTCCACACAAATATACTCTACTATGTAGTATTTGTCTAAATACACCACAACTGCTCCTGCTGCAAACCCTCTCTTTAAACCTCCCCCATCCACCCTCAGCTCTTGCTTTTACTGTTCTAAATGGAGAAAAATAGTATTCTGTCCTTACAAGTGAAAGTAGGTAGAAGCAAACACTTTAGATATTTATAGTGTAATGATTTTAGTGTCTCAGTCAGCTTTGTTCTCCTTCACAATCCAATCCTACCCAAAGACAATAACAAACTACATTTTTTGTTTAGCCATGCTATAATTCCTCTGATGAATTGAGGTAATTCTGCTGAAAATGACTGCTGAAAAGTAGGTATATTCAAGGAGGTAGGCACAAATTACAAGCAATATTTTCAAACATATTTTATAAGAATAAGTAAGTTTAGTAAACAACAGTTATTAAAATAATTTAAAAGTCACTTTTACATGTGCCATAGCCTATAGACATTCATACCATATTTATAAGCACAGCCTGTATAGAGACAGAGTCTGATGTTTAGCTACTCTGAAATTCCGATCTTGAAGTCAAAAGAGGTACTTTGGCATGTAAATTTTTGCATAACCTTGTCTTAAAATGTGATTTCATACTAGCATAAAACCAGTGAAAAATGAGATTCAGATGCTTTAGAATTTGCTGTGCAACTGAAACCTGACTTGTAGAACAGTATTTCTACAGCTCTGTCTTCTGCAGACAAGAGAACCAGCTGGATTTAACCCACGATTTGACAGTAGAGACACATGATTGTTGGACACCAAATGACTACAGTGACTTAACACTTACTGAGCAAAAAACAATGCGTATGCTCTTGCCTTGTTACAAGGCATGACAAAGCAAGCTGAAAACTTACTGCCTGAAAATATGAGAATCACATATAGGTCCTTCAAAGCAGTGCCCAAATCAAGCTCTCCATATCAACAAAACTGTTGTCAAGCTTCTTGTTTCTATTATGCTCCTCTATAACGTTTACTATAACTGAATTGGAAAGCTTTCCCTCTCCTTCACATCTGTGATACACTAATGAATCAAGACACAGAATATACAAGATAGTCTTCTGACCATTCTCCTAATACCTAGTTTTGCTTGATTTCCCAGAACCTTTTCAGACCAATCATTTCTCTCCTACAACACGCAGAAGAGCTTACCTAACACTAGCCTCCACAAAATGCTTCTATCTTATAGTATTTCTTGTGTACAAACATATTGCAAGCCACCCATCACGTTTCAGTAGAGAAATGTTGAAATTTCCAGCTAAGCTGGAATGCTGAGTTTCATAAGAGTAGACCAATACTTCGATATCAAGACCATCATTTCGTACTCTAATATTTTGCTCACTGACCACTAATGAAATCTAAAGCAACCGTCTGAAGCAGAATTCGAGAGACATACAAGATCCTGAAAGAAAGTCACAGCTGCTATTATCTGAAGCAGAATTTGAGAGACATGCAAGATCCTGAAAGAAAGTCACAGCTGCTATTTATCAGACAAAAAAAAACCTTCAAAAGGGTTCCCTTATCCTCCCTCAACTCAAATGGAAAGCTGCTAAATTCTTAACTAAGGCTTTAAGAATATCTTTCATGATGTCAAAGTTCATATAGGAAGTTCCAGCTCTGCACAGTCTCTGGCTGCTTTATTATTCTTCCCCAGCAGTAACAGCACAACTTTCTGAGGGACCATACTGTAAATCAGCTTCCTGTAATAATGTGAGTTTTTTCTACGTAAACTTTTCCTGTAGTTATTTTTAATCATTTCAATTAGGCTTAGAGCACATATCAACACTAGTTTCAGCACAACCAACAGTGAAAAGCATTCGGGAGCATGAGGACACTTGCTAAACAGGCAGAAAATGAATTGTTATTTTGTAGAGTTCATTTTCTGTGGACTAGTTGAACAGTGAGCAGTTCTGCAGTTGCGAAAAGGGGTCAGAGAAGGCCATGGGCAGGACCAACTCTTTGGTAGCTGGATCAGCTTATCTGTAATACAACACATACAAATCACATACAACAAACTGCACCTTCTGTCCTTAAGCATCTTCAGGCTGTGTTCACTAGAGAGATCCCTTTGTTCAGAAAAGTAAAGAAAACATTTGTATTGGAGTTTTTGTCTGTGGCTTAATTAAACACAGAGGAAACTGCAGTACTGCATGTAAAAAAATCACCTCTTCTGGCTGGTTGGCCAACACTCCTGTTTCACACCTTGGTTTGTTCAGAATTTTCACATTTAGTTAAACTGTATGGTCACATGAAAGTATGGCAGAATGAATGTAAAGCTCATTCATACTTCATGAACCTACACATGAGTTATATGCATACTATGCATATTACTCATTATGAGCTCTCGCTTACAGGGGAGCATCACAAAAGGATACCAGCCTAGGAAAAAAGAACACAAACTGAGCACTGTCATCTCTGAAAGGCACAGTGATCATTTATTTTCATGATACAGATCAGGAAAGAAAGTTAGAAGTGCATATGCTCTTTTATGCAGTTCAAATAATGCCCTATGAATTATTTGAGAGACTATAGCTCCAGGAAACACATCTTGAAAAAGATATTGAGGGGAAAAACGTATATGCTTGCTCCTAGGAAAGTTTGAGTCAGGAGCTTTTAATACAAACATCATCTACTTGGACAAGAAAGGGGAAATAACATTCTGGTTTTGGGGCTCTTGGACTACTTTGACTGTGCTCATTAGATAAGACTTGGGAATAAGCTTTCCTAAAATAAGTGAACTAAAGACTACCTCTGTTTCTAATTTTCTGCCATGTCTTATTCTTGCCACAGGCTGTCTTTTCTTCCTTCATTCTTTACCTGTGTGGTTACTGGTGAGTATACAGGAACAATCATTTTTTCTAGTTTAAGAAAAATTACAATTGAACATCATTAAAATATACCCTCCTACTTTACACAGAATTCCTAACTGCATCCTGGATGTACTGTTATTTATCAATAACTGTGTCAGCAAAGAATTAATGCAAGCTACAGAATATTTAATGTCTGTAGATAATGAAAGTCACATTTTCCCACTGGGGTGGTATTAATCTTCCCATAGCCAAAATTAATATCCTCCTGACAGTTAAGCATCCTGATAGATCATTTAAGTGCATATTATTAGCATCCAACAACAAAACTATTGAATTTTTTCTTCTATCCCTGTTAACACAAAGGGCTGTGCTTGGGGAATTCATAGAGATTGTTAATTCCCCAGAGTAAACAGGTTGCTAATAAACATATAAGCTATTTTACTAGGACTGCAAGACATGAACTGGCAGTCCTTTTATCAGTGAAGCCTCCAGACAGAAAAATGGGAATAGTTTCATCTCAAGTGAGCAGGAATTTCTACCTTAGCACAGTTATTTGATGCTGGAGAGAAAACGAAGGAAAGAACCTTAAACCAGCTGTAGTTTTAGCTGATACTGAGGGAAAGTAGTATTGCAAGATTCTCTGTATCCTGCAGAGAATGAAACCAATTCTTCTTTCGATAACCAGGATTACTAATGGGAGAGTCTTCATCTTGAATCTAAACACATGAATAAAGACATTCAGCTTTCTTCTGTCCAAGATGGCTAAATCATTTTTTCTGTTTGGCATTAGAAGACTATCTTCTCACAAACCTTTTGCCTCTGAGACGGTTCTGTGGCTTGTAAATACAGCGGAGACCAATTTTTGCCAAATCAACTGCAAGACTGTTTCAGAGGAACACCTGTGAAGGGACTTGTAAAGGAAGCCTGTAGAATGATAACCTAAAGAAACTCAAATATTCTAGCAACAAACTCTAGCCCTCAGGGTGTCTGCTGTGACCTGTAAGGTGTTCCAAAAAGCACTTCCTAGAGACAGCAAAAAATGGCAAAAGTAATTCTAGTACCTAGAGAGGATGGTTCCTACTCAGGAAATCTTACTTCCTTTTACATCCATCTTCTTTAGTTGAGAATGTGTGTGAAGAAAAGGGTCTTCTCTTTCCTGCCTCTTCATTAGTTGCATGTAAAGGTCTCCGCATTAATCTTAACTTCTCCCTCCAAGGAAAATGAAAGCTAGGATGCAACTCAAGTGCAATTTAGGAATCTGAATCTCCAAGCACTGTCATTCTAAACAACTTATACCTGTGACTACGAATGA